ATTGATTATGCATGGAGTCACTATCCCAAATGATCTGATCAGGGCAAAAGTTTGCGATTTAGTTGATGATAAGGGGGATTAGAACTATGAAATCCTTCAAGATTGGTTACCATCTTAGTGGATGGACAAGCTGCTTTCTTGTTTGCCGTTGCGGGAAGGAATTTTTTTTGATGTTTTTTGTTTTGCAGGAACAAGTAACGAGGAATTCTCTTTCAAAAAAGTTTTTGATGAAATTTCGGGTTTTGTTGATGTGCAAGAGGAAATAGGAGTTTAAAGTGCTATTTGGAATCTTCACGTGTCAAAGAGGTATCGTAGCTTCATTTGGCTTCTAAAGCATGACAGGTTGCTAACAAATTACAACAAAAGTAGAAAAGGTCTGGGAAGCGCAACTCGTATTCTGTGTGAAAATGCTTGTGAGACCACCATGCATGCATTACGTGATTGAGGCAAATGTAAACCAATTTGGATGAGCATAATTCCCAGCTGCATCATGGGCGAGTTCTTCAACACATATCTATCTGATTGGATCAAATTAAACATATATGAGCATGAAGGTATTAATAAGGAGTGAGGTAGATTGTGGGCTATTATTTGTCATGCTTTGTGGGCTTGCCGAAATAAAGAGGTTCATATAGAAAGTTTTAAGAGACAGATGAAGCTAGTTGTTAATATTCTGAAGAGGAAGAAGGATTATGTGATACGGTGGCAGAACTGACTGTTTAATACTGGTTTACGTTTTTTGTTCGTAAATGTCGCGGTAAGAAAGGGTCGCCACCGACTTTTCTTTTATCCAACAAAGGAAAGAGTGAAAAGAACAGAAAAAGACCTTTTTTCGAGAGTTTCTGAGTAAGGGGGTAGATTATGGAAAGGGAAGGTATTAACATCCTTTCCATCTGTGGTTTTCCACGGGATCTTAGGTACTTGCTCATTTTCTAAAATTGCTTGTGTTTATGTGTTTGAAAAGCTTTGAAAAATGCCTTAGTGCGGAGATTCACTTTATGATAACTCTTGTATCAGTCCTCAAGAGTGTGATAAAGTTTTTTTGAAGACTTTATTTTGAAAAGTGTTTGAAAGTGTGTGAAAAAAGATTGTTTGAGCAAGTACCTAACCGTTATCTACCTACTTGAAAAAAGTTTGTTCTTTTCCTCCTATCCTTTAGACGGTGTTATCCTACTATTAGTGAGTAGGTAACCCTAGTCGTTGGATATTGAGGGACTATCGAAAGGGCGTAATGGTTATTGAAGGCAACATGTAAGGATATCTTAGCATTTCGAAGGGATTATCATCATAAGATTATTTCTCGTAGGAAACTCGAGGGACATTTAGGGACTATGGTCTTTATGATGACTTTAAACTGAGGGTCTTTGCTAAGGGTATCCCTACGTTCGAGGGACATGACCATTGATTCTGAAGGCAACCAAGTGAGGTAATACCCTAGAGTTACAAGTGTGCAAAAGTGTGCCTTTTTCAGATACATTTATCTTGAATTTAGTGATCTATTGATTAATTACTCATACATGCCTAGGTTGCTAGCAGTTATATACAGAATATAAAACATAAAAGCAAGAAATAGAGGCCTTAAGCTATTACAAGGCTTTTGGGTAGATACATAAGAAATTTGACTGAAAAAATAAAGTGCGGAAATAAAGCCCTAATTAAGCTATTACAAACCGAGCGCAGTTACATCAATAATAAAAATTAATCGTACGGCAAAAATAATTACGCGTGAGAATAAAAAATTGAAATAAGTTTGAAACCCTAAAAAACCTAATTTGATCATTGAAAATATTTTTGGGATTTTTTTGAAAAAAATTAGAGTTTGACCTAGTTTTTCTAACTAACTTTAATTAATGAAACAAATTAAAATTGATGAAATTAATTGATTTACAAAAATTAATTTATTGAAAAAAAGCTAAATCCTAATTTTTGTGATGTTGATTTTTATGATTTTATGGAAAAATTAATTTAAGAAAAAAAAAAAAACTAATTTAAACAAAACAAAATTAAAATGGAAAAAGAGTAAGCCTAAGGGGTGTAAATCCAAGTTGGAGGGTGCATGTTGTATTCCTGCTCAAAGCCTAATCTAGTTGGCCCATAGCTGCGTGTGATTCAGTGTGGTTGTCATATGAGTGTCCATCCCGGGGAGCTTCATTGGGAGAATTGAATCCATGTGTTGATTGATCCAAGGATGAGGATCTGAGGCCTATGGTGTGCGCGCTTGGAAGAACAACATGGAATCTGCAAAGAATCGTTAGGAAAAATAACATGTAGGAGGCAGAGATCGAACCCTGACCTCCTACACGCGCACGCTGAAAAGCCTTTCCCTTTACCACTGAGCCAATCGTTCAATCGTTAACATACATAAACAACATATATTATATGTGATGAAAAGTCAGTGGCTGTAATAAAACGCGCGCCATTCAAACTACCCAACCAGGTTTTGACACGCAGTCGTCTTCTTTGTTGAGACTGTCGTTTTAGCCTAAAGGTTTTACCTACATACAACGTTGTAGCTATAAACCTGCACATCTCAAAAATCATAATTACACAATATAAATTCAAATCAAATGTGCAGATCAATTGGATTTGGTCTCGTGAGTACAATGGTACTCATCGTTTATCTTGATTTTGCCTGAAACGAAATACCCTAAAAATAACCTTGAAACCCTAACCATGGTATTCAATTAAATATGCATCAAAACATATAATTAATCATGCAAATATGTTCTAAACAGTCATATAAACATGACCGTATATTTAAAAATCATTGATCATGCATACATTTTAAAGACCAGTTTCGAGAAAAAGGGCAAACCGTGATACCTGTGTTGACTATTTTTGGACGTGGTGATGCGTGAGAGTTGTCAAGACAGCTTCTAAATATGCCCAGGAATGGATTGCACTCCTTGAAACTCCTTGAATCTCCCTCTACAGTAAAACTCGATCAACACTTTTTGTTAAAATTCTGGACAGTCTTGTGTGTTCTACACGACCAAAATTCTTCCTTTTCTGATCAGGGTTTGTTTTGTTATATATATATATATATATATATATATATATATATATATATATATATATATATATATATATATATATATATATATATATATATATATATATATATATATATATATATATATATATATATATATATATATATATATATATATATATATATATATATATATATATATATATATATATATATATATATATATATATATTGGAATGAATTAGGTTAACAAAATTGAACTGAATCTTGAAGATCGAGTGAGAAAAATATTTGATTTGTCTTGTATCTTTTGTTTCTAAAATGGCCAAATCTTTGTATTTTTCCCCACACATTTTCCTTGATTTGCCAGCCTGCTTTAATCTTCTTTCGATTATGGGCTTTCTGGCTTGTTTTGGACCAAGTCCCATATTCATTCCTTCGAATGCCTCCCGTTCCAGCCTTGAACTTCATTTCGAACTAATCAAGACATTCTTTATTAGAACCTTGCTTTCTTTGATGGTCCTGACTTCGAATTGTGTCAGCTTCAGTACTAAAGCTCCTTCGATTGAATCACCCTTTACTTTGATTTCCTGCCTTTTTGAAGAGAAGCCCCGGTCGAATCAGCTCTTGTGGTATTGTGACCCGACATCGCAAGACTCTGGCCTGGGCATATTTTCAGAGTGCCCTCTTGATGGCCTCTTTCGAATGGCCCGGAGGGAGTCCTTCGAAGGGTCATTGTTCAAGTACCAATCGAATGGTATTTATTGGAATATCAAACGAAGAGTCCTTTGCTACGCCAATCGAAAGGCTTTGACACAATGCTAAATCAAAGAATCCCTTGCCATGCCAATCGAAAGGCTTTGACACCATGCCCATTGAAAGGCTTGTCATGAGGCCAATCAAAAGGCCTTTTGCAGCTGTCAATCGAAGGACGCTATGTAGATGGTAATCGAAGAGCATTTGGAGATGCCAATCGAAAGCACTTTAGAGATGTCCATCGAAAGACACTTTGGAGATGCCAATCGAAAGGCACTTAGTAGTTGCCAATCGAAGAGCCTCATTAATAGGCGAATCGAAGGAAACTTATAAACAGGTCAATCGAAGGAAACTTAGAAGCATCATTTGAAAAATTTCCTTGTCTTTAGGCAAATGTTTGTAACCACCTATGTAAGAGGAAAATCTTGGAAAAACATGAGAGGACAAATTTTAGGGTACAACAGATTATAACAATGCTTGCTCTATGTATCAGAAGATGAAGGGGGTGGAAAGTGGAAATCGTTTATCTAGCTGACAACGCCTACCTCATACATGGTTAAATTAAACACTGATGGGGCAATGAGGGATAATGGATTTGCTGGTTGTGGAGGTCTTATCCGGGATCATAAAGGAAAGTGGATTGAAGGCTTCTCTAAGCCATTGGAAATTTGTAGTTCGTTATTGACAGAGTTTTGGGGTGTATATGAAGGATTAAAAATGGCGGAAGCTTTGGGTCTAAAGAGGTTGGAGTTAAACACAGATGCACAATTGATAGTTAAAGCCATCGAGAAAGGCAATATCAATAAAACAGAGTGTAGAGTAGTGCTTCGTGATATTTTCTATTTAAACGAAGAGTTTGATTAAGTGATAATAGTTCTAGTTTTCGGGAATCTAATAGATGTATTGATGCTCTTGCAAGTATTGGTTGCACTCGATCCCAATTTTATTTTTATGATAAACCTCTAGACATCCTGAGAACGAGTTTAGAGGATGACATTATAAATTTGCATACTTCTAGAGATAATGTTTTGTTGTTGCTTTTCTTTTAAGCTTCGGCCTTCTCTTGCATTAAAAAAATGCACTAAACAAGTAGATGAAATTTTCCCTAATTTAAATTTATGTTTTCATTTTATTTCCAAAAAAATACAAAAAAGAAAAGAAAAGAAGGGAGAGAAGAAAACATGGGAAGTTCATGAGCGTTTTGTTTAGAAGCTGTGAAAAATATTGAGCCGCTTCTTCGTTGGAAGCTTCAATGTCAGGAGGAGGACCATCTCGCTCCGCCGGCAAACGCCCCCGTCAGGAAGACGACGACGACGATCCCAATCAAAATCTACCGTAAGTTTTCTCCTTCCTTTTCGTAGCTCTCAAACCCTAATCCAAATCAAACCTACATGATTTTATCCATTCTATTGTCACACGCTGTATATATGTTCCCTTTTGTTCGATTTTTCTTCAGATTGTTACGTTGAGTTTCTTGAACTTGATTTTATGATGGTTGATTTGAATTTATTAATTTATCATACAGAGCAAAGAGGGAGAGGTTTCCGAAGAAAAAGAAAGGGAAGCAAGTAGATGTAGTAGTGGAGCAAGTAATTACTGAGGAGAATGTGAATGACTTGTCGAACCCCGTTGTTGCTGCCAAAGAGCGAGTGAAACGCAGGAATCAAATTACTGCTGAGCTTTTGAGTGAAGAGAATTCGGCAGCTGAAGTGACTTATAAGGTTTGTTTTTTAGGTTTTTCTTTGAGCTATTACGTTGATAGATATATACTAGTACTAGTAATGTTCCCTGTTGCACCAAAACCTCTGGAAAAAAGTGTGTTTATGTTCGACACTGACACTTATGATTACATTTAATATATTTCTTTTTTCAAATTATTACTGGTGTCGATCAGTGTCCATGCTTCATAGAAAATGTTCTTAGCAAAAGATTTAAATTGATTTCATGCAGAATAAATAATTTGAGTTTTGAACAAATAAATAAGAAAAAAGTTATGGTGACCACTGACCGGTAACTAACCGATATGCAAAAATCATCTGTCAATGGTCTATAGTAGATTTTTGTAATAAGATTATTGTTTATATGGTGTAAGACAATACGAGTGTTGATGAATGAATTATTCATTTTCTGGCAAAAGTTGATCCATGTAGTCGACCCCACTTAGTGGGATAAGGCTTGATTGTTGTTGTTGTTTGCACTTTTCCGTTACTTGGGAATTTGAATATACTCAAACGTATATAGCTTGTTGATATATTTCAATTTTCAGCACTTGGAACATTTCACAAATTGGCAATGCTTAGGAATAATTTTTTCTTCCTAAAATTACTTGTATTTGTTGTATGGAGTGTTTGTAATGTATTTGTTATATGCTTGTAAAGTTTGTAGCCAGTTGACTTTTGTTCAAATCCATTTTCGTAATGTGATTCTCTCCTAAATTGGCAGTAATTTAATAGTTAATTTCTGTCCATCCATATTCATGTGTTTTTGGGTTCATATAAAAGATAGGCAAGCAAGCAGTGATTGGTAATGTGTGTTGGCAGGATTATGAGGATTTTGTTGATGATGGGATTCAAATTGAGCCTTTCAACCTAGATAAAGAAAGGGAAGAAGGTTATTTTGACGCATCCGGAAATTTTGTTGAATATGTAAGAGATAATGAGATTAAGGTGAGGTATTTCTATTTTCAAGTATTTTTCATTTTCTATTCACGACTATGTCTTTTTTAATCTATTAATAAATTGTCAAGCATTCTTGCAGGATGCATGGCTTGATAATGTTGAGGTTGATCCTAGATATGCTGAATTAAGCTCTGCAACAAAAAATGATGAAGAGGAGGAGGTCCAAGAACTTTCTTCTAAAGACGTGGCAATCATGAAGAGGCGCATTGCAGATGTTCTTGAATCAGAGGAAACAGTATGTTCTATCATTCAATAAATTCTTAGATCTGATTGATTTAATAGAACGTGTTAATGCTTATGTAATTAGTGAAAATAAGAAATGAGAACAATTTTTTTTTCTCAAACCAAACAATACCTTAGTTTATTGTTTTGTGATTTGTTGTCTTTGTTATATTGAAGCATCATTATAGAATGGGACATTTATTTGTCAACTCACTCCAGAGTATACCATCTATATATATGTTTTTGGTAAACATTGGTTTTCTTTATGGCAATGGAGTTTCTCGTTGAGAAATTTTTTACAATATTTAGTGGTTAGTTTATTCTCTAAATGTATAAAGAATGTGTGATTTTGAAGTTGGAACAAGGGACTGGTGAAATGAAAAAGTGGAATTTGTTGTAAATTCCATAGCAGGCTATTCAATGTCACTTTAAACCTGAATTGTTAGTGTTTTTCTCTCCCTCATGGTTAGCAGAGAAAAACCATATTATCCTCAGTTTACCCTAAAAAAGGGGTTACCGATGTTCTTAAAAATAAAAGCAGATTATTATGGTAGGAAGTTATATCTAGCGTGTAACTAACTATCATTGTTAATTTAATATAATATATAATTGCTTTTTCTTAAAGTCTTGCCATTGGAAATCACTATAATTGGTGATAGAATTTATGTGCATATTTACATTTATTCTGTTAAGGGATGTTGAAGGTCATTTGTTGGTTTGTTTTAATTGATATATTTTTTCCTATAGGTCTTACAATGTTTGAGAAGGTTAAAAGGTAGCGGTGATAGAAAGACAAAAATGTCTGGTGAGACTAAGATTGTGTTTGACCAGCTAACTGAGGATGCTTCGAAGCTTATGGAGAATGGTGAATACAGTTAAGTCGTTCTCATTGGGCTATGTGGATAATATCCATGGTTAATACATGTATTTGTTGTGGTAGCCTGATGGGACCCTTTATGTTGTCTAGCTTCTTGTGCTTCAAGATTTTTGTTTTACCACATGATGCGTATTATTGGTTTTCTTATGTTTCTGTGTTTCTTCCAGATGTTTATCATGAAAGTAAAGAGGTTTTTGAGCGCGAAGCAGGTTAGTGTATTATATAATGCCTTTGATATATTTTTGTTATGTTTTGTGACACGAGTTACTTTATTAACATAATGGAATGTGCTGCTTAAAATTCTTAACTTGATATTATTAACTGTTCAGCTATTTCTTTTGATGACTTAATTCTATTTTACATATGCTCATATTATGGTCGTGTTTTTGAAATGAAATATGCTGCCTATCATCATCATTTATGATAGCAATAAAACTATTTTTTTGAACCATCTTATTAAGCTTAAGATTTAGGGGAAATTGGTTCTCTGAAGTATTCTATCTCCTAATTTTTCTCGTCTCTTCTTTCATTAATAATGATATCGACGTTTAGCTTTACAAGGAATAATATGACACCTGTTTCCGTAGGAGAACTAATTGCTAATGCTTATGCCTTTTACAATCTCTCTTTTTCAGAAGGATATGAGAAATTAGCCAGGGCAAGAGGAGAAGGCACATCCATGGACACTCCAAATCCACCTTTGGCTAGTGCTGATGGTTTTGATATGTTTGCTGAGGATGATGAGCATGCAGCCACTGAACCATCTACAGTTGAAAATAATGCAGTTAGTGAACCACCATCAGATGCCATCGATTCTGGTACAGAGGGTAAAAACATCGCCTCTATATAAATTTGGCATCTGAACGTTTTTTGCTGAATATTATCTTTAAACTCTTAACTGGTTCTACTTTTCTTTCTAGGTGGAGCTTTGCAGAGCAATTATGTGTATGACGAATCTTCTGGGTACAACTTTTCTCTTAATACTTTTTTTTTGGAAATAATCTAAAATAATCATCATAATTCACCTGTGTTTTAATGCTGTAAAACTTCATTTAGAACTAATTTCTTCTTTTCCTTGGTGCATTCTTTTATAAAAAAATTATGCTGAAAACTCGATCTGACATCGATTCTATATTGGTCTAGGTATTATTACAGCAGCAGCTTGGGCTATTATTATGATCCAAATACAGGGCTTTATTGCTCTGCAGAATCAGGGAAATGGTATTGTGTATTGATGATTCATCTTAGTGCATGTCATGTGTCATTTTTTATGTTTGTAGTATATCTTTATTAGCCATCTGAAACATGCTTTAGATGTGAATGCTTTGCTCCCTTGTTTAAATCCTAATCCTATTCCGCTTAGATGTTTTTTATATATGGAAACATGTATTATTTGTACATTACTTTAACCTTGATCTTGGTGAAAATTAAAATACACACGTATGGATGTGCTCATAGTAGACCAATAGCATGTTTGGTATTAGCTTTTTCCCACCGTCACCGCACGTTTGGATAGCATTTTACCAGGAAAACCAGAAGCTACAAAACGTAGCTTCTATGCTACCGTGAGTTTTCGCCTTGCTTTTTCATTTCCTGCTGCTAAACCAAACATGCTCCAAGATAAGGTCACGCCAGTTAGAGGAGAAGGAAATCAAAGAAAAATTATAGATCAAACCATTGAGAACCAGATTAGTCATGTCTATGGGATGTTACTTTTTGATGCAATTAGTTGACCCTACCTAATGGGAAAAAGGTTTTATTTGTTGTATTGTATGTTTGTTAGTGATGGTAGACACTGTTATTATTCAAGAAGCAAGAGAATCCTAGAGAAGAGGCGGGGATTGAATTTACTCGTGTCTAACTATAACTTAGGCTCTTGAATTTTTGGGATTCCATGTTAGATGGACATTGTAAAAGTTGCTGGATAATTTTTAATATTATAAAGTAGGTCTTGCAACCCTCAAACCGTGTAGAATAACATGAGCGACACAGTTCTCCTTCTAGAGTTTTAGCATTGTTGTATTTCTAACTGGAGAACTTTGGTTAAACTTTACAAGATTATGTCATCTCATTCAATCTCCCTCGAGTAGTAGTAGTTGTATAGTTTAGTCTCTGCATTCTGTGATGAATTCATTCTTGGTCTTATTGCTCACTGGGAATGTTTATTTTTGTTTTAATACAGGTACTCATTTAATGAAGAGACTGGCACCTATGACGAAGTTAACGAGGTTGCGTCCAATTTGAGTTGAGGGACCTGTTTCAGAGGAGTATAGATAATTTATAGCATATCCACAGTCATTGTCTTCCAGTGGCATTTGTACAGACAGTAGCACTATTGATCTTTTTGCAGATACTTTTATGTGGGGCACTTTGTACCTGTTTAGGTGCTACTGCCAGCTGTTTTTCTTCTGCCTTTACCTCTTTAAGGTTGCTGATGTGTAATGGCTAAAAAATCACCTAAATTGATCCCTTGAAGTTAGGAATGATAAACTTACCGTAGCATATTTCTGTGTGGGTATTCCAATGGAAAACAAACCTTGTGATCATGCTGGATGTGCGGTGAAAACCCTGGTGACTGCAGAAACAAATATAGCAGTTGTGTTTACACATCAAATTCCTAATCTATTTTTGTATACGTGCTATTGTATGACTTGTTTTTTTGGTGTCAAATTCCACATCACATTAGTCACTTTTTACAGTAACAACAAAGTTTTATTCCATTAAGCCTGTTATTCACTCTTTATTATTAGTATGAAAGTATTATGCATTATCACACCATGTATTTTCTCATTGACATTGTTAAATATTACACACTAAAACAAATCATGGTTCTTAATCCACTACTAAGCAACAAATTCTGAAATTTGCCCCCCCTTTGTGTATTTACTACTCTTTCCGTCTCACTATAAGCGTCCTTTTTTTTTTATTAGTCTCAAATTATGTCTTTTTAGAATGTTAATGTGATATTTATTATTACTTTTCACTAATTTACCCTTATTTATTGTATTTTAATTTATATAACTATTTCCTTATTTACTATTAATAAGGTTATTTTAGTAAATTAGACTCATTTTATCATTGAAATTAACATAATTAATCATTATCTTTTGTAAAACGGAGGGAGTATTTTTGTATTATTTTAAATTTACATAGCATACTAGTTTAATTACTCCTTCCGTCTTAAAATAAGTGTTACATTTGCAAAAAAAAATCTTAAAATAAGTGTCACTTTTAGTTTTCAAAGTGATTTTAATTTTTATCTTTCAATTATATCTTTTAATTAATATTTTTAATTTACTATTTTTTTTATTTTGTATTAATGATAATTTAAATATATTAATAATTAATAAGAATAGTTTAGTAAAATTGTTATTTTTTTCTCTTTCATTTATTATATGTTTTTAATCTGTGTGAAAGTGTAAGTATAAAAAATATTTTTGAACCTAGGAAGTATTATGTTATATGGAACAATCTTAATCTAGGAAATAATTTCAAACTTGTATGGTCTCTTAAATAAGTGAATTTAATATAATCACTTAATGTTTTTAATTTTTTTACAATATTTTCCTCTTGTTTCAGAAATAACGAATTTAGTACCTACTTTTTCATAGTAGTTGATCAGGGAGGGGGACATGTGCTGGACTCTATATATACGTAAATTCTGACAGTCTTCCATGTTAGGCCTCATCATGGCCCATCATTGAAGACTTTAACCAAACTCGAATGCATTAAGAATTCATTTTAATCCGATATGGTCAATTATAATATTTTAGTTAATCACTCTTTGACAAATACTTTTTTGGCTTAAATGCAGTTTTGACCCCCTTAGTTTAAGGTTTTTGGAGTTTCGATCCCCCTAGTTTAAAAGCCAGGTTTCTAGTCCCCAAAGTTTTCAAATTTGGGATTTTTGAAGCCCCCTCCATCTGGCTGCCAAAAAAGTGACATGGCACAGGGAGAATAATGCCACGTATTATTATTATTATTATTATTATTTTTTTTATTTATTTTTTTTCTTCTCCTCATGGACAAAATTAAGGTTCGAAAGAAAGGAAAAAAAAAAATTAAAAAAAAAAAAAAAAAAAAAAACGTGGCATTACTCTCCCTGTGCCATGTCACTTTTTGGGCAGCCAGATGGAGGGGGCTTCAAAAATCTCAAATTTGAAAACTTTGGGGACTAGAAACCTGTCTTTTAAACTAGGGGGATCGAAACTCCAAAAACTTTAAACTAGGGGGATCAAAACTGCATTTAAACCTACTTTTTTTTTTTACAAATTGACAAGTACAGTTTTTAATTAATTGATAGGCAAAATAAAATATTATTTTGACATTAATTTCTGATACTACCGCACTGTTTACAAATAAATAAATAATTTTTTAAAATTATTTTAACTTTTTAATATATGTTTTTTTAAAATTAGTTTATTTAATAAAATATTAAAATATGATTAATATAATTAAAAGTTTGATTAATATATATTTTAATACGAAAAATACAACATAAATTAATTAATAAATTACAATAAAATAATTAATTAATAATAATTAGTTAATAATATATATTTTTATGATTAATACAATTGTAAAATTGGTTAATGATATAAATTTATATTTATTTTATAAAATAAATTTTAAAAATAATTTTTTTAAACTTTATTTATAAAATAATATTATTTTATTAAAAAACACTTTTTAATATATAAATACTATAAATAGTTGTACTTATTGAATGCCGGTGTCGAAGATAGCTCATGTGCAAAAACACGGCCGAATTACCTGATTTATCGGATTATGCTATTTACCTTAGGACTGTTTGTTGGTCCACACAATTTCCAAGATACAGCTACTTTTTTTTTGGGATATCATGAATAGAATAGAACTGAGGCAATCAAAACACAGAATAACTTTATCAAAAAAGTAGAATAAAGGTGTCAGTGCTTTATACCACCGATATCTAAAGTTATTAAGCAACATCTATATAATATGAGTTTAGTACGTTACGATACTTATAACTTTAAAAGTTATATTAATTACAGTATTATATAACTTTAAAGAGTTATAGTTAAAACGCTTACATAAATTTTACTTTACTTAGACTAATTTATTTATCAATTAAAGACAGTGCACAGTTATTGTAAATTAATTTTTTATAACATTTATTATATTTGTGATTGGTTGAGAGTGAACATTTTTCTGTGCATTTATTTCTTTCCTATCTATAAAATATTTACATAAATATAATAAAATAATTTTTCTGTGTATGCATTAATTTGGTTATGAAAAGATAGTCTTTATTATGAGTACAATGAAAGTTTATTACTAAAATCAGATAATTGTACGGTAGTAATTTATAATTTATCAAAAAGATACGCAAAGTAATGTAACAATATCTATAAGACTAGATTTTAATATTTACTATTTCCTTCTATAATTATAAGACTCTCTTAATATTTTTTCTTATTTATTTTTATAAATTTTTTTCAATTTTTAAAATGTATTAATTATTATTTTTTAAATATATTTTTAATTATATTACATATTTTTTTTGCAATCTTTAATAAATATAATTGCATACACGTTAATTATTTTTCTCTCCAAAAGATGAACTTATAAAATTATACAAAATAATCAATAAATTTATTACTCTAATAAACTCTTTTAATTCTTACAATTTACCCAACAATTTTATATTTAAGGTGTGTTTGATTCGAGGTAAATGAAGGAGAGGGAGATAAGAGAGATAATATTTATAATAAAATGCATTTGATTCAATTTTAAATAGGGGAGGAGAGATGGACAAAATTCCTCTAAATCATATTTTTTGTGTTTCTCAAATCAGAGAGATCCATAAGGAAGTAGAGAGAAGATGAATATAAATTAATATATTTATTAAAATATCTTCAGTTTTATTTTATTATTTCAAAATTATTATTTTCTTTCGTGTCTTTGATTTTTTTTTTTGTGATTTTTTTATATTATTTCTATCAATTTGTTATAATTATTCTATTTATGTTATTTTTTATTTAATATAAATTATAATTACTATATTTTTATTTTTATGATTATATTTTTTTATTTTATTATATATATATTTTTATAAATTTATAATTTTTTTTGTTTATTTTGTAATATATATATAATATTTAATTATAAATCATTTTATATATTAAAAAGTTATTATCAATCCATAATTTTATTTTATAATGAGAGTTAAAATATGAATGAAATATAGTAATTTATTTTCCATTGGTGTCTATCTCACGCATAATCACCACCTTCTTCGACTGTATATCTGAAAGGAAAAAAATGCAAACAGTTCCTAATGTATATGGCACCTCACTTTCTAAAATCGAACCATCTTTATGCGTGGAACCCTAAAGATTCCGATTGATTTTCGCATCCAACACTGTAATCAATGGCGGAGGAAAGTGGACAAGAAATCAATGGCGGATTCTCGATGGACTCAACCGAATCACGCTGGGTTTTCCACGAAGATGACGAAGACGAAGATGTTTCTGATATTGAAGAATACGACGCCGATTTCAGGTTGAGAGGACGCACTACTGTGGTGGATTCCGAAGACGAGGATAACCTTGAACAAAAGCTTATACGTACTGGTCCGAGAATCGATTCGTTCGATGTGGAGGCTCTTGATGTTCCCGGTGCTCCCAGAAATGATTATGAGGTCGTTACTTTTTCTCTGTAGAGGAAATTTGTGGTTTCTTTTTTTGCTTTTGTTACTGATTTTAGTGTGGAGTGTGGAATTTTTATGAATTGTAGTAAATTGTAAGATATTTCGTTTTTCAAAGATGGTAATTGAGATTGACTAGAGTTTAACTATGAAGCACAAAAACCGGACTCAGACACACTCACATTGACACGACACCGATACTGATTTTAGAGTGGAATGTGAAATGTTGATGAATTGTAAATTGTAATGCTAGATTATGAGGCTTTTCGTTTGTCAAAGATGGTAATCGAGATTGAGTAGATTTTAGTTAGTTGTATTGTAATCCGAAGCACGGACACCGGAAACATGACACCGACGCAAACAAGTTGTTATCCGTAATAATTTGAAAAATGAATAAATTAAATGTAATTCCAAGTCTTAGTGTCGGTTTCGGATACGGACTCAGACACACTTTTTTTTTCAAAGATGTTGGTTCTACAGAAATTGTAATAGCTAGAAAATATTTTAGAGTCAATCTTTTTTGAATTTTATTTTAAATCATTTTAAATCATAAGTTGAAAT